CAACCCGTGTAGGGCCACTAAAGAAAACTAACAAGTTACAAAAGCAAACCATCTGGTAGAGATGGCAAAGATGCGAATGGCAAGAGGTCCAGTTCTGAAGAGGAGGTTTTGGTAGAGAAGGAGGAAGTGGAGGTTCAGCAGCTGGAGAAGATGCTGAAAGAAGTTGGAGGAGCTGCTCGTGGATCCACATCCATATGTAGCAGCTTGGAAACAAGAAAAACTTGAAAGGCCAAGAAAAACATTTAGTAGATGATGAAAATCATGGCAACATCAACTTGAAGATGCCACACAACTGGCAGAACCGAAGGGTAGATGGTGGAGGGGAATGGATGGATGGAGAATAAAGGAGAATGGAGGAGAGATTCCTGCTGATAAGACTGTGATTGGAAGAGGAAGCTCTGCCAACTCTCGATGGGTCAATAACATTTTAAGACACTTGTCTACTTAAATTTAAGCGTTAATTGTTTTGGGTAGGTAAGCAGGCTTTTAAGACAGAAAAGACTTGTACTTGATTTATATATATGTATTTTATAGATAATTAAAAATGTAGATAGTATGTAGATACTACGAAGATATATTTTAAATATTCCTAAATATTAGTAAAAATGGATGAAACTGAATTAACTTCTTGACTTGACATCGTTACATAAATTGAAGCATTAATTGCTTGCCTTCAGGGCCCTTAGAATCCTTCTCTATAGCTCTTCTTAAATTTATGGTATCTGCTGGAAAATTTGTGTATCTTTTTATACCCTTGCAGAGGGTATTATGATTTCAGTCAGAATTTTGCAACGCAGTGAAGGAGACGTTTCCGACCCCATAAAGTATGTATATTCTTGATCAGCATCACAAGACGAGTCGATCTAGCCATGTCCGTCTGTCCGTCTGTCCGTCTGTCCGTCCGTCTGTCCGTCTGTCCGTCTGTCTGTTTCTACGCAAACTAGTCTCTCAGTTTTTGAGCTATCGAGATGAAACTTTCCCAAAAGTCTTCTTTCTATTGCAGGTAGTATATATGTCGGAGCCGACCGGATCGGACAACTATATCTTATAGCTCCCATAGGAACAATCGGAAAAAAAAAACTTTAAAAAATTCTAGCTTCGGTGTTTTTTGAAATATTACCTTCTACTTTTGGGGATGTTATTTTTTAAATATATCTGAATTTCGAATTAATTATTTAAAAAATTGGACTACTATATCATATAGCTGCCATAGGAACGATCGGAAAATTAATGGAAAAGTAATAGGAAATAAATTCTAGCTTCTTTGGTTTTTATTGTATTATCTTCTACTCTAGGATATGACTCTTTTTAAATATTTCCGAATTTCAATTTTAATTTAATCAAAATCGGACGACTATATCATATAGCTGCCATAGGAACGATCGGAAAATTAATGGAAAAGTAATAGGAAATAAATTCTAGCTTCTTTGGTTTTTATTGTATTATCTTCTACACTAGGATATGACTCTTTTTAAATATTTTCGAATTTCAATTTTAATTTGATCAAAATCGGACGACTATATCATATAGCTGCCATAGGAACGATCGGAAAATTAATGAAAAATATTAGAAAATTGAACATTTTTGCGATTTGTTTATTAATAGGAATGATCTGCAAGGGTATATAAGCTTCGGCTGGCCGAAGCTAGCTTCCTTTCTTGTTAAACTTAACATTCATTAGTTACGAATAGAAAGGCCCGAGGAGAAACCGAAAAGTGAAGGAGGATGAGGAGGAAAAACTGAACTGGGGATAAGTCGTAGTCGCCTTATCATTTATCTTGGACCTCGGGCCAAATGTTTTCTGGCCTGCCAATTTCGCGTGTCTTGAATGGATGGTGGGTTGAATTTGGAGGGGGGTTTCAGGGGGCGGGACAAGGACGAGTTGTTCGGTTCGGTTTGGTTTTGCGCTTGTTGGTCATATCAAATCGCTTTTGCCCTGCCTTGGCTTTTGTGGCCTGTGGCTCAGCGCGTGCCTTCCTCAATTTTCCCGCTTTTCCGAACGCCTTTCCGAACGAAGCTTTTCCTCTTTTCACTCGACGCCTCTCCACCCGCCGTGCCCACACATCAAAATTGGATTTGGCCAAGTTAAGCAACGACCATTGAGGGAGTTAAAGCTCTGTCGATTATTTTTAATGGCTCGCATTCTCTTTTTTCCTTTCTTGCCGTTTTGGTAATTAAAATTAAAATTAATATTAGCTGTTTGCTCTAATTTTATTGCTCTTTTGGATAGTTGTTTTCAGAGCTTTTTGGTCTTTAAATTTGGGACTTAAACCGGAAAAAACCATTACCTGTGTTTAGGGAAAATTTAAAAGAAAGCTTATATTAGCCGCTTAATTCCTTACTTTCTTTTAAGGTCCCGAAATAAATGTAGGCTCAGTTAACCTTATAACTAATTGCTAAAAAGATCCTTAGATAAATTGTCGCAAAATCGAGTTAGTTGAAAGTGAAAATACCAAATTAAATTTAGCTTGTTTCTCTTTTCATTCAGGGATTAGCCATATAAATTGCTGTAAATTGCACCCCCAGATGTAAACTAAATTTTTTAATTTTTTTTTCCTACGTGGGCTGTCGGTTTAAGAGACGGTTTTCCTTTTTGCGAGGGTCCTTTGTGTTTGTTAATAGTATTTTCCAACTGAATGGTTGGGGCGGTTTACTTGTAAATGGTGAAAAAGGCAGAAACCTGGCAACAATTTGGCAATTGATTGGAAAAATATTTCTAACACGATTTTCGAGGGTCCCCTTATTTTTTCGATCTTTCCTTCTCCATTTTTTTTTGTATTTTCTGGATCCTGTAAACTAATTCAATTATTTGCGTACATAATTTAAGGACCGTGTCCGAAAGCGTTGAGCAAGAAATTTATATGCAAAACACGCATAAAACTGTTTGCCCCCCATCTCTTTTATTTCCTCTCTTTTTCCGCGGTTGATTATTTATGAACACGAAGCGTTGAGGCTATGGAAATAATTGAAGGAACTTCACTCCACTCCACACTCCACTCCACTGGCCGACGGGGTCCATTTTAAAGTAATCAAGGGAATGAAAGGCCTATTTTCAGGTCACTAGCCTCGGCTTTTCCCCGCGTCCGGAAAATGCCAGGAATGCAGTGCCGAAACGAACTGGCCCAAATGTTGAAAACATGTTCGCAAAGTGACAATTAAGCCAATTTGAAGCCATTTAGCGGGCAGGAACGCAAACAAAAACTGTGGTATATATATACATATACCCTTTATATAGAGAACAGAACGGAACAAAATGAAACAGAAGCAGGTCTTGATTTCTAACCAAACAATGCTTTAATGGTCGCCGAGTCGGCGAACAAAGCCAGACAATCAAATGTAATTACACGCACATAAACACGCAAAAGACGAAGATTCTGAGGTTGAGACTTGAGCTGGGGTTAAAGGTGCACTGGGAGAAAAGTGTGGTGGGGGTCACATAAGATTAATTTAATAAATATTATACAATGATATACAATGATGAAATAATATACAATGATTTAAATAATCTGAAAATTAATTGCTAGGAAGTTAATAGAAATATCCCAGTAGAAAAGAAATACATATTTTTAATCCAGCAATTAATTATCTAAATTAAATAGATCTCCTTATAGATCTTATAAAAATAATCCCAAAATTTGTATGAAAAACTTAATGTTAAATAAAAATAGTGCTAAAAAATAAGTAAAAAATTCGTACAGAAACAAATTAAAATAAATAAATCATACAAATGTTTCATAAGGGTAGTACTGTAGCACGGGTTATTTTTTAATAGCTAATCCATAAACGTTGTAACAACTTAATTTCCTTTTTTCTCTGTGAGGCTGAGACACCTGAACCCGCTTTCCAGACCTTTTCATAAAAGGTAGCCAAGAGAGAATCACGCAATTTACTATAATTTGCAGGAGGAGATTGCGCAAGTGGAGATGGATGGAATGGGTTGGGTTGGGTTGGGGAAAGGGTCCGAGTCGAAGACCGTGCTCCAGTTTCTTGAGATTGCGGCAAGTAAAGTTCTTCAGACGGCCACTGCCTCGACCACTTTTCTTCTTTTTTTTATTTCTTCGCTGGATGTCAATGGTGCGGAGTGCGGATTGCGGATGGCGGGTTTATGGGCAAAGTCATTAGGCAGCTGGCGACACTTATCCAGGGGGCAGTTAATTACAAAGTGGTTGCGGCGGTGGCTAAGACATAATTTCACGCCATTTGCGGTGCATAAGAGGCCGCTAATGCTGGACTATGACTTGCAGCTCCTCCAACAACTTGGACTCTAAACTCGGGGACGAATTCATTTTCCGAGGGAAAGAAAATTACCTGCAGAGTAATGGAATTCCGTTGGTGAAGAGCTTATAAGTATGTAGGGGGTTGCAACCCCAGTAAACTTAATTTAAACTGTCATAAAACAAAGGGAAAATGGTAGGAAAGAGTTAAAGTTTTGTAGTGTTTTTTATGTAATTCTCTAGTTTATTAAAACGGAACAACTGAATTATTTTGTGACTTACACAGGTGAATAAAATGAGATATAAATTATAAGTAATATTATAATTCTTTCTGTAATATTATCTTGTATTATATAATTATTTCTTACCCAGTTATTAATATCCAAACCCAAAATATTCCCCAGATGACCCTTCTAACAATGTTTCCCTGTTCTTTTAACATCAAATTATCCCAATAAACCCTGCTCCCGCTCAAGTTCTCTTTCAACTCTGCTAATGAGTCTCTCTGGCAGTTATTTCGGCATTGACCGACCTTCAGACACTTGATTAGTTTAATTAATAATTGACAAATTTCGTGTCTAATCAGCAGACTAATCATGACTCCCCACCTCTCTTGTTTTGCCCTGATTAATTCAATTAGAAGTTTGGGATTATGCCGCCTGATTATGCCAAAAATGCTGCGTGTTTATTAATTTTCATCCAGCGGTTTGCTTTGATTCTGAATTCACCATCAGCCTGTGTGACTTGACTAATTTTCGCTGCTTTTCTGTTTTCGCTTTTTTCTAGATTACCCCCGAGTGGAGGTCGGACCCGAGAATCCTTTGCGGGTGGAACGTGACCGGACTGCCAAGCTGGAGTGTAACGTGGATGCCAAGCCCAAGGTTCCCAATGTCCGTTGGAATCGCAATGGTCGCTTCATCAGCTCCTCATTAGTTCACACGATCCATCGAGTGAGTGTTCAGGATGCCGGCAAATACACCTGCATTGCGGATAATGGTTTGGGCAAGACGGGAGAACAGGAGTTGATTCTGGATATCCTCTATCCACCCATGGTGGTGATCGAATCCAAGACTAGGGAGGCTGAGGAAGGAGATACAGTGACCATTCGCTGCAATGTCACCGCGAATCCCGCTCCAGTAACCATTGAATGGTTGAAGGAGAATAGTCCCGACTTCCGCTATAATGGAGATGTCTTAACCTTGAACTCTGTGCGAGCTGATCATGCTGGGAATTATATCTGCAGAGCTGTTAATATAATGCAAAGTCAGGGAATGGAGCGCAGCGAGCGAGTGGGCAACTCCACGGTGGCTTTGCTAGTTCGTCATCGACCTGGACAGGCTTACATCACTCCCAACAAACCAGTGGTCCATGTGGGCAATGGTGTTACTCTAACTTGTTCAGCAAATCCCCCTGGATGGCCAGTTCCCCAGTACAGATGGTTCCGCGATATGGATGGAGAGTTCTCGAGCACCCAGAAGATCCTGGCGCAAGGACCCCAATACTCCATACCCAAAGCTCATTTAGGCAACGAGGGAAAATACCATTGTCATGCTGTCAACGAACTGGGAATCGGAATGATGGCCACCATTTCCCTGGAGATCCATCAGCCTCCCCAGTTCCTGGCCAAACTACAGCAACATATGACTAGGAGAGTAGCGGATACGGATTACACGGTAACCTGCAGTGCCAAGGGAAAACCAGCACCAAGTGTCAAGTGGCTCAAGGATGCAGTGGAAATTCTGCCAGAGGAAAATCTCTACGAAGTGCAAACCAATCCCGATCAGGGTTTAAATGGAATGGTCACAGTGCAGAGTCAATTGAAATTCAGGGGTAAAGCCAGGCCAAATGGTAATGCCTTAGTTCCCGGAGATCGTGGCCTGTACACCTGTTTGTACCAAAACGAAGTGAATTCAGCAAACTCTTCCATGCAACTGAGGATCGAACATGAACCCATAGTCCTGCATCAATACAACAAGGTGGCTTTTGATATTCGGGAGACAGCTGAAGTGGTTTGCAAGGTTCAGGCCTATCCCAAACCCGAATTCCAATGGCAGTTTGGCAACAACCCATCACCTCTAACCATGTCTTCGGATGGTCACTACGAAATTAGCACCACTACGGATAATAATGACATTTATACCTCTGTGCTGAAGATCAACTCGCTGACTCATTCGGATTATGGAGAGTATACTTGCAGGGTGGCCAATACTTTGGATACCATTCGAGCTCCTATTAGATTGCAACAAAAGGGTCCCCCAGAGAAACCCACCAATCTGCGAGCCACCGAAGTGGGTCATAATTATGTATCCCTATCTTGGGATCCCGGTTTCGATGGTGGTTTGAGCAAGACCAAATTCTTTGTGAGCTATCGACGGGTGGCGATGCCAAGGGAAGAGCAACTGATACCCGATTGCGCCACTCTGGCCAACTCGAATTCCGCTTGGGTGGAGGTTGACTGCCAAAGGGACATCCCCTGCAAGGTCAACTCCCTGGAACAGCACCAGAGTTATGCCTTCAAGGTCAAGGCGTTGAATCCGAAGAGTGATTCGCCGTACTCCAGCGAAATAATGGTGACAACAAAGGTCAGCAGGATTCCGCCACCTCTTCAGGTGACTTATGAACCAAGCACTCGAACTCTGGGCATCGATGTGGGCGCCACCTGTTTGTCCCTGGTGGCCGTTGTGGAATCCATGATGAATGCCGATACACCGAATGCCGCCTGGGAGGTGGTGGCCACCATGGATAACCTACAGCTATCCGGGAATGGACCCACGCACAAGGAGAAGGTCATCGACAGGATAATCGGAGCCAGGCGGCTTGGAGGAGGACGTGCCTTGGGTCACACCATCAGCGAGGATGAAGATGACAATGGTCTGAATTCACTGGCCCTCGAGGATGACAACAGTCCCACTGTGAGGGTTAAGTTGTGCCTGAGGACCAATCCCGAGCACTGCGGCGATTACACGGATGCGGAAAGTAAGTAGAAAGTAGTGTAAGAAAATTTGTTAGTTAGGGAAAAAATCCTTATCGATGCAACCAAGATGTACAGTATAAGAATAAAAAATGCGCATGAAAAGTGGGTGGAAAAGAGAAGTATTCCTCCTCAACCGCCGCTGATGATTTCCATTATATGCAAAGCCATTACGAGCAATTGCACCACTTGAATGACCGACTGGCTGCCGGCGGACAATCAATCACTCATTCCGTCAGTGGTCGTGGTTTCGCCTCCTCCTTGCCACCCATCTTTCAAGCAGCGAACCATCTATCCAGCCATCCGGCAGCCAAGCAACCATCCATCCAGCCATTCATCCATCCACTTCAACTCTTTGCGATGCATTTTTCATGGCTTCATTTCATCTCACTCTCGATTACAGAGCCAAAAACAGGAATGAAATTAAGAAATCGATTCGGAATTAATTAGATTTATCGATTGTAATGATGTTATTTTATTTAATGCGATATTATTCGATACCTAAAATGTTGATGGCATTTTTTTTAAGTCGAACTCGTTTTTTTAATTAATGTATCACAGTTTCGATAGACAAAAATTCGATATTATTCACGATCGATTGATTTTCATTATACAATCACTAATTATCCTTTTTGTTCTTTCTCCGATAGTTGGCCGACCGTATATCGCGGAGGCTAGTGCCCTGGCCACGCCCACTTTGATAGCGATAATCGTGTCCTGCGTGGTCTTCGCCCTCTTCGCCGGCCTCATCCTGATGTTCTGTCGCTGCAAGCGGAATCAATCCAAGAAGAGTGCCGCTGCCAAGGATTACGAGATGGACTCGGTGCGCCCTTCGATTGTGACCGCCCAGCAGAACCAGGCCCCGCCCCCCTACTACCCCGCCTCTGGCCTGGACAATAAGGCGCTGGAGCACTCGATGGATCTCGCATTGAGTATGGAGGAGCAGAAGACGGCCCTGTATGCCACCCAAAATGGGTACAGCTATCACCCCGGCAGTGGGGTGGTGGGTGTTGGCCTAGGAGGCGGCGTGGTGGGCGTGGGCGTGGGCGGCAGTGTGGTCAGCGGCATGGGCGGCGGCATGGTGGGCGTGGGCGGAATGGGCGGAGGCAGTGGCGTCGGCGTCAATGGAATTCCTGGTCTCAATGCACACACGATGCCCGGAAATGAATGTGAGTACTAGCAAATGCTTTTTAAAATATTTTATTTTATACTCAAAAAAAAGTTTTACACTAAAAATCATAAAATTTCCTTATCTCCATACTTTTAAATCAAAGTTTCAAAATTTTTCCATAAGTATTTTTTTTGGGAAATAATTTTCCCTTTTTTTTCCAACTTCTTCAACAATTTTGCACCTTTTTTTCCAACTTTAAGTGTTTGCCACGTAAGGGTGGGCAAACAAAAAACTAAAAGATCGAAAACCGAAGTGAGAAATACTTCCGGTTGGGACATGTCCTTATGGTCCCTTTTTTATCCAGTGGTTTCTGGTGTTTCTGGGGGTACTTTCACCTCCTCCGTTTGGGTTGCGGTGATTTTTCATTGTCCACACAAATACGTACACTTCCGCACAAAATGAAATCCGTGCTGACGTTTAAAAGGAAAATATATGTGGGGTGGGTATCCAAAGGGGGGTTGGATTTCCCGGTTGTATTTTCTATTTTTTTCGAAATTATGTTGCCCCTGAAAATGGGAAAAGTGCAAAATGGAGTTGAGTGCAAATCGATGGCAGCAAGAGCATTCATCAAGCGCGGTTTGTGTTCTGTCAGAGCAGCCCCCCTTGCCTACGCACCTGGAAAAGCGGGGGAAAAAGCACTTTCCACTTCCGTTGTAAATTTGTTGAAACAGCAATTTTTTCTAAACGCTTGCTTTTTTTTTTTTGTTACTGTTTGCTGTTGGTCTGTAGCATTTTGTAATATACTTTCCATTTTGCAATTGTTGCTGTCGTCCATTCATCGTGACGTCCTTTCCGCCCACTTGTCCTCCCATTTTGCTGGCGTCCCTTCAAGTGGGGGAATCCCCCTGTTCCTTTTCACCATGACTCTTGTTCGCTGTTTGAATGCGTAAAACTGGACTGAAGAGCGCTTTCTGTTCACAAAGAAGAAACAAAATCCTCCCCCAGTTCTTTCCCCTCAGCGGTTTTACACAATTCATTATTAATTGTGCTGGTTTTCGTTTATTTCCTTTTTTCCCCTACCCACAATTTTTAACCTTTCACATGGGAGGGGTGGAAAAAAAAGCATTTGGCACTTGGTAATGATGTGCAAATTAAAAAATCCTTTTTTTAAAGGAACACGATCTCCTATAACTGGTCATACTAAAAGTTAATTTACTTTTTACATTTTTTAAGCCTCTAAATAGCAGCAATTTGCTTTGGCAATTTCGTGTTTCAATTGTTTTCGAAGGCCAATTAAAATTTTAAGGCGCTTAGTCTGGCAAGGACTCACTAAAGGGGCATTAAGGGGTTAACAGGGGGGCTGCTGCCACTTAATTGCATTTAAAAACGATTGTAGGAGGTGGAAAAGGAGAAGGAGTTGCAGTAACAGCTAATTTGGCAAGTGAAAGTGGCATGAATAATAAAGGGTTGCAAGTGCACGAAAGGAACGAAAGGACCAAAGAGTGTTGGGGAAACTCCTTTTCCTCTTTTCCCTCTCCGTTGCATTGTGAGCGCTAATTGCCGCTTAAGGAGCAGGGCAGCCACAAGCGAAGAGCCGAAACACACGGCTCCCGACCAAAATGTCCTTTGGCAGATGCAGATGCTTCCCGAAAACCCAAACCTCTGACTTTATTTGCCACTCACCGAAATAAAAATTTAATTTTGATTATTTTTAAACGGCAATTTTCATTATATTAGAATATAAAATAATATACATGATTAATTTCAAAAACATTTTAGTTTCACCTTTTAAGGCGCCTAAAAGTATGCAATAAAATATTTTGTATTCACAAAAAGCAATCTTCCCTTGCACAAAATATTTTAAGACACACTTGAAAGTGATTTAAAAATTAACAATGATTTTTATATCAACCCCATTTTGAGAAATGTAACTCATTATTATTTTTTCTGTGTAAAACCCCTCCATTTTCCACTTTGTCTACGACTGAGAGTTCTGGCGGTTCATTGTTGTAGTTGCCTGCACTTTTCGGGCTCGTTAACGACCGCCCAATTCAGGTCCTTTGGCTTGCCACCCCCTGAGTTTCACCCCCTTTCGAAGCCCTGCTCCCCATGGCCACAATTGCTTTCGACCTAGGCCAAAAACCTAATGAACTTTGCATGTAAACCGGCGACGACAATAAAAACAATCAAGCGAAGAGCGAAAGTGCAGCCAATAAAAGGAGTGTCGAAAGGAGTCCTCTGGAGTTGGGAGAAGCTTTTAAAATGAAACTTAAAGGTATTCAGATATTTAAAAGAGGAATTGCCATAGGAATATAATTGTAATAAATAATACATAAATAGCAACAGAAAAATAGCCATTATTAAATACTAAACACAAAACTTGGCAGCACTCTTTAAGTCTCTCGCTTCAAGTTATTCCGCTCAGACTTTCTGGAAAGTTTCTTGCACTCTCCAGTTGAAGGATTACAAGTCAGGGTCTGGGATATATATACTCCATATACGTTTATATATAGAATACGCCCACGGCTAGACGATGGCTAGGACATGTTCCAGCAAATAAATGAACAGCAAAACAAGCAGCTGGAATTTGGAAAACCAAATAAATGCAAACAAATGTCGTCGCACACACAGAAGAGGCAACCAACCGTAGAAAATAGAGAGGAAAAATAAAAATGAAAATATAAAAAAATAGCTGGGTAAAAAAAAATAGAAAAAAAAACGAACAGAAGGATTCTCGCGCTCGGCAAATTTATGCGCTAAATAAATAAAGCCATGAACCCGCGCGCCAACAAATGTCTGCCATGTTTTAGTTGGGTTTGGTTTAGTTTGGTTTGGTTTGGTCGGGATTCCTCTGGTCGGTGGGGGTGTTTTGTTTTCAATGCGATTCTGGGGGTTTTTGGGGGCCCTCCGCGTTCAGTTCTCTTGTGTTCTGGGCTTAAAATGCAGCCCCGCAAAGCAAATAGCCGCAAAATAGTTTTGCGCGCCCCAAAAACGTAGCCCAAAAGGGGGTAAATACGACGAGGGGGGTGGCTTTAACACAAACAGAAATTCGAATATATTCAAAATATTTTTTTACTAAAATTAAAAATATTTTCTTAAAATTAAAAAAAAACTGTAATGTATAAAAGGGAAGTGATACATTTTTTTGGTCCTTAAAATTGTTGATAATATTTTAAATATTTAAAAGAATTTTATATATTCATAAAAACAAGTATAAACCTTTTGTCAATAAATCTTTATTTTAATATTTCCTTAAAAATTACTCTGTCAAAGATTTTTAATTTTTTTTATGATATAATTTTCCAAAATATAGTAAAGATATTTCTTTGAGTGCATGCCATCTGCTGTATTTTAGGCCAGCATTTTGCTGCTCTTTGTTCCCCTCTAATCTGTCTTTTTTTTGCAGTGATTGCCTCTCGAACATGTTTGTCTTGTGTTCTTGTTGTAAGCGAAGGGTTAACACGAGGGTTCAAGGGGGTCAACAGCAGCAGCCTTGACCAACCGACCAACTAACCCAACCCAACCCAAACCAAAACAAACCAAAATCCGACCGCACCACAAACAACAGTTCGAAGACACCATCTATATCTATGAGTTCCAATTTGCTGGACTTTATTTCTTTCCTTTTTTTGCAGATGCCCAAGCTAATTGGCTTAAGTCTAAACACAGTCGCGAATTCCAAAGAAGTGGGCTTTAATTTATATTATTATAAAATCATCAATACCCTTGACCTGACGTTGGGTTTTTCTTTCACTTTCTTGGGCTGAAAATTCTGTCATGCCCAGCTGATCAGGAACAACAAGGCGAATTCCGGCGAGAGTTTCGCTAACAAAGTTATTTTACTTTCCCTTCCAAGCCGCCCGCCCCCACAGGCTTTTCATTCATTATCCTACTAACGAAAAAAGGAGAAAAAAAGAAGAAAAATCTGAGAAACTGACGCTGTTGCAGCGCAGCAAACTTTTTGGCCAACTTGGGGGCGCACAAAAGAAGCTGGAAAGCAGGAAAACCGGATGGAGCGGCGGAAAAGTGCAACACGGCAAGTGCAGGAACTCGGCACTAGTGCGCTCCCACTTTTCCTCCTGCACTTTCCCCGGCTTTTTCGAGCCCTTTTCCCTTAAAATACAACCCTTGTTGTATGCCTGCTACATTTAAGCGCATTTAGGGCAAATGCCAAGCAGCCTCCGACTCTGAACTCTCAACTCGCGAATCTCGAATCTCGACGCTCAGAGTCTCCGAGTCGCGTCGCTAATTAAAAGTGCAACAAGGAAAAGGTCACGAGGGGTTGGGGAAATCGTAGGGAAAATCGTAGCTGCATGGTTAGAAAAGAGTGGCACTAAAAGTTGCCAAAATATGTTTCACAAATTTGCATTCATTGTGTGGCAAAAAAGTAACGAATCAACGTCTTGTAAAAGATATCGAAAACAAATTAAAAGAAATTTAAAAAAAAATCATATGATTAAAATGTGAGTATTTAATTTAATTATTTCAATTTTCTTTTTCAAAACAAATATTTTATCCTTCTTTTAAAAAATTTGGTTTATTATTATTAAATCTATGATTATTAAAACAGAACTATAATTTTCTACTTTACAAAGGTTCCTATAAAAAAACTGATTAAATTTCTTAAATACACCAGCTTATAAAAGTCTTTCTGACTATTTTTTTCGCTGTGTAGAGTGAAAAACCTAGATAAGGAGCGAACTGGTGCTATTAACACCCCAAAAACAGCGAACTGGGCTTGAGTTCGGATGAGTTGAGTTGGGTTTGGTGGGGATGGAATGGGTTTTGTTGCACAGGCAGCAAAAGTGAAGAGGGGGAAGTTGGCCTTACCCCCATCCTTAACCCTTAGGTGCCTGCTGGGGCCACGGCCTGCTATTTAGTTAACCGTTAATGGCATTTGAAACTGTTTTTATTGTGAACTGCCGCTGCCGCTGCTGCTGCACAAAAATGTTGCATAATTGTAAGCGCTTCCGGTTGAAAAGTTTGTCGAGTGAATTAGAGGGAAAACTTTCCACCAGCCCAAGCACTTTTACATGAAAAGATTTTCCAACTGCGGACGGGGTTTAATAATAAGCTGTTGTTGCGGCGGGCGGGGGACGGGAAAAGTGGGGAAAATGGAGGCGTGACTGGGCCAGAACTATGCCGCAACTGTTGTTGTTATTTGCTCAAATCAATGCACAAAACTTTGACAAACTTTAATTGCTAAAAAGGAAAAAATAAATAAGGAGTAGGCAAAATGTTGTTTCCCTCCAGACAATGGAAATGCATTAAAATTTTCATCAGCGAGGGAGAGAAATTTTGTTATTTCGGTCAAATATTTTGGCAAACTTGAGCAATCAAAAGTTGCCGCCGACAAAAGATTTGATGCTTATCAAATTGAAAAGTTTCAGTCTTATTTTTTTGTCCCCTTCAATTGCAATTGGAAAATCTACATACATATATAAGCAGAATGTTGCGGCATAAAATTACTCAAGCAAATATGCAAATTGGCTGAGCGAATAAAGAGCAAACAGAAAAGTTGGCCGCATGAAATGTAAATGAAGTTAATATTATTACTGTTTTAGTTTTATGGCTAATCATAAAAATTATCACGCCCACCGAAAACGAGGCATAAAATCGGGGCCCTAAACTCGCGACGCAGTTCCAGCTGAGGACACGCAAAAATGGAGCGAAAACTTGCCATAAAAACGGTCGCCAAATGAGACCACGCAACCCGCGTGAGGGTTAAGGAGTAATGAGCCTATTTCCCGAACCTCTAGATTTTCTAGATCTACAAATATATGGCACTCAATGAAATTCCCTGTAATCGAACATTATTATTGCACACTTTATGGCGGGGGAAAAAATATTTTAATCCTTTATTTAAATAAATAGTAAATATATTGATTGGAAAATTTAGAAATTTAAATATAATCATTTTATATTGTAAATTCCCCGTTAATTTATGACATGCCATACAAAATTGCTTATGTGTGTTTAACAAACCCGACGAATCCTTTTAACTGTGACAAATCCCCTAAAATGCCAAAGATTATATACTTTTGGGAACACTTTTTCCGCAGCCAACTCAAAATTCAAAAAGTTTTTGTTTGTCGGCAAGCGTGCGTTTAATATTTATGAGTGATTTATCACGATATAAAAATAATAATAAATGCGTCCAGGCAGCAAGCACGCACCAGGCAAAAGCAAAAGCATAGGGAACAATGAATGAAAATGGAAAAGTCGGTTGAAGGAGTGGGAAAATGGGAACACCAGCTGCTTCTCATCGAAGGACAAGGGCTCCTCCATCCGTTTACCCCATAAAAATTGTCAAAATGGTCTGAGGAAGGAACAGGAAGGTGGAAGTCTTCGAATTCGGTGCTCCTCAAGGGTTTATGACGTTACGATGGATTTTAAGTGGCGCACGCGGCGTATGCGCAATGTGATAAACTATTAATTACGCCTTGTCTACGACTCAAAGTTAATAAATTTTATGCCCCTGTCATTTTTATGTGTTAATCAATAAAAATCCAGCCCAAAAGTTGCCACCAGAAAACAGACAGGACTTCAACTTTGTTTTTGGGACCAAACTTTGGCTTAATTTTAATTAAATTTTATTTTACTGCCAACGAGCGAAAGTTTTTCCTTGGCCAAGGGCCAAATAGTAAATGTTGTACACGAGTGAACAATGGCGGTTAAAAAAATAGTGACTCTTGGGGATTTATTTGAGAAAAATAAAATTTATTAATGACCAAAGATATTTTATACATATTTTTATTATCGTTTTTTATATTTAATGCAGTCTTAACTATAGTATATGTAATAAAAAGTAATGAAAGTTTATATAAGAAGCAATGTTTAATTTGCTTAAAATATTTTACTCAAAAATTAATAACTCTGAGTAGAGAAAATCCACTATAAAACATTTTAATAAATTTATCACACAACTTTCAATACCACTTATTGTTTTATCTTCTACCTATATTTCTGTATGAAAAGTAATGCAACTCTCCCGTGAATTTATGCCAACTGTACTTGTTCGAAATATGCTCATTCATCATTTGTTTTTTTTTTTGTATTTTTCCAGGGGTAAACATGGGCTACATGGAGAACAACTATTCGAATTCGAACAATGGCGGCAGTGTCAACTCGCAGGACTCTTTGTGGCAGGTAAAGATGTCGGCAGCGGCGGTGGGCAACCAGCAGGGCATGGTCCAGGCCCCCCTGAATCAATATGTCGAGCAGCAGCCCGCCTACGGATACGATCCGTTGACCCACGGAGGCTATGGGGCGGTGGATGACTACGCCCCCTATCCACACCTAACGGCCACGCCCAGTCAGGTGGGCGATGAGTACCATAACTTGCGCAACAGCCAGAATCCGTCCCGGCAGGACTACTGCAGCGATCCCTACGCATCCGTGCAGAAGCCCAAGAAGCGAGTCGATCAGCATTTAGGTGAGTAATCAACAGAATTTTTACAAAATCCGCGACATTACTAGGAAATTATAGCTAAAGAATTAAGATATATTGGGATAATTAATTAGAATCATCAGAAAAGGAAGGTTTCTTTATGAATTAAAGAATATATATATTTAGGGTATATAAATATAAATATATAAATATAAATATTTGTTATACTTCCAAGTTTAATTTCCTTTATAAATATGAGGAAATCATTAAGCAAAAACATGTATATATTTTTCGGACTAACGATGTCGTATGCAAAGAATATATACTTTCCAAATAAAATCCATTGAAGCCTGGATAACGAAACTTATTAGTAGAAATTTCACGCATTCATCAGGAACTGTGTGAACAAGCAGTGAATAAATGCCGATGAAATAATGAGAGAGAAAAGCAAAACTGCAGAAAATTACACATAGATTGCGAAGAGATTTGTTCGAGGAACTTTTCCCTTATTTTGATTGATAAACTTTTCGCCAAGAGCCGAGGAGGACCCAAAGTTTCTATTTTCTGACACATTAAGCTGCCTAGGAAAAGAGTAAGGTCCTGGCTTTCGGATTCCATGATGTCGTCCTATGTCCTATGGCCCATGTCAAAAAGTGTGCGTGTGGCCTACGTCCCGAAATGAAAGTGAGAGGGCCAACCAACCAACATTTCTGTTGGCATTTCGGGCTTTGGCTCGCTTTCAGTTATGACAAGTTAAGCACTGGGAATCTCAAAATGTTTTGCGCCCTTTTGCCATGCTAATTATAGGAGAGGCTACGACGGCTGCGGGGAAGCAAATAAATATTATTTGCCAATATGCTGTTCGAGGTTCGAACATTTGGACTCGGGCTTAAAGTCTTTGAGTTGAGTTTGCTTTAAGTTCACCCGAGCACAAAGCACCAACCGCAGCAAAAGCAGCAAAATCAACAAGAACCAAGGGGATGTGGGGCTGCCCTTTGGCATCCACAGCTTGTTTTTTGGGATTGTCTATGGGTGTTCCAAGTGTTCTGAGTATTCTGGGTCTGTGTGTGCGTGTGCTCGAATTTTTGCGGAATCCATTTCTGCCGCATGGCCCATGTTGTTATGTGTATTTTATTATTTGAATACTCTATACGTTACTAGAGTAGCTTTAGTTTTCGGTTATTAAGATTTTATTAGAACAGAAAATACTTGCAGAATTTAAAAGAAATTCATTAGTTCAGTTGACATAAGATTAGAAGAGGAAAATATCACCGAGAAGTTTTTATTAAATCCTTAAAAAATATTTGGTAAAATAAAGAATTTTAAATTGATCATTAAACCGTAAAACTCCTTAAAAAATTATTTTCAGCTGTTCAAACAGTCTTTGTTTTTTTATATATATTTTTTTTTAAATACCCCTCTGATATGCTAGAGTATCAAAATGTTTTATACATCCCCACCGCACTTTTCATATTGTTTGTTGTTGTTATTGTGATGCCAATAACACCGCAAGTGTTTTAAAATATTAAATAATAAAAAGCGAACCGAACCGAACTGAACCGAATGAAAAACCCAAGATGAACAGCAGCCACAGTGAGAGTTTTGAGTTGGATCAGCAGTGGTGACTGTAAAGCGCCAGCGGGTCGTATGCGTAATATCCCCCTTGTTTTTTGTACGTGTGTGTGTGTTGGCCACAACTATGAGCGGTGTGTTTGTGTGTGTTATCTTTACGCTTTATGAGCACCAAAACCCGAAAAAAAATACATTTTTGGTAGCTACTTTTTGTTGTTCTTGGGCGCTTTTTATTGCCCTGGACTCTCGCAGTAGGTTGTTACTACTGTTGTTGTTGTTTCTGTGTTGAATATTGTTAGCCATTTTTTTCCCCACTCACTCCCTGCATATAAAATGCAATAGAAAGCAAAAAAAGAGGAGAGAAAAAGGCTCCCTATTTCCTACGTCCTTTGCTCATTTTTTGTTTACTGAGGTTAAACGCAAGGCACAAACACAAAAAAACGGGAAAAACGGTAGTTTTTTTTTCTTTTGGTTAAGAAATGCAGGGAAACAATAAAGAAAATATTTATAAAAAAGAAAGAAACTATTCGTGCATGTCAATAAAATGCAAAAGCACTACAAGATACAAGCTGCCAGATGGAAGATGGAAGATAGATCCCCCACGAGAGCCATCAAAAGCAAAGCAAACTTTAAGGGGCGTAGTGCCACTGAAGAGGGTTAATGTAGAATGTAGAATGTGGGGGCTATGAGGGGGTTAAGAAGACGAAGGACGTTGGGCACAAGAGGGGTTAAGAGTGGAAGAGCCAGCAGATTGACAGTGCTACAATATGCAAATACATCTTCATTACATTGATGTCAGCTTATGCACAGCTTGCAAATGCAACTGAATGTCGTCTCCCTGTGTGTGTGTAAGAGTGTGTGAGTGTATGAGTGTATCTATAAGAGTGTGTGTGTCCGCCTGTCTGTGTTTGTATGTTTAAAAGCTTTTACACTTGCCAAACTCACATTTGAGACCCCTCATCGCTCATTCTACGGCCCGCTTTTCCCCGCTCTCGTGTGGCTTCCAAAACCCCGGCTGACTTTTGTGCTATGCAATATGCAGCCAAGTGCACTGATAAAAAATATTTAACATTTTCATTTGCATAATAAATTTACGTTCCCTTAAAATCTCTAAAGAAAATTGTAATTTTAACATTTTCTGCGGATTTTCGTTGCTTACCAAAATCAAAACTATTAGTTTTAAAATAGCTTAGACTATATTTTATCTAGATACTAGTTCATATAATTTACATATAAGTTTGTAAGATTTTTCCACGGTGTATATGAGTGATCAGAGGATGCATGTCGAGAGGGGAAAGAAGAGGGGCTGGCCATGGCCGGAAGGAAGGAAGTCTGCGGCAGGCGCCAAAAAGCTGCGTAAGCAAATTTTTTGCTCATCTGTTAACATGCAAAGAAGGCTGCACAGAATAAAGATTGGGGCATGCTACATATATGTGTGGTACATACATATATGAAGGGGAAAACAGAAAGGGAAATTTTCGGAGGGACCAAACGACAGACCGACTGACTGACTGACTGATTGATTATGCAGACTTTTGTGTCAGTTGGTTGAGCGCCTTTGTTTGGTCCTTTGTCAAACAGACTCTCTCCTGGCCCACAGGAAATGGCTTTAATTCATCATTAAGGCAAAGGAGACAGCGGAGAAAACGGTGAAAGCCAGCCACAAGATGAAGAACAAGTCGGAGATTATCCCGGGCTTTTAGCAGATTATTCAAATTGCTACTTCATGAATATACATAAACGATTTTGATTAATATCGGAACATATGCTTGACATACTTTATGTTTTTGGGGTAAAGTAATTGTATGAAAAATAAGGAGAGATAAATTAAAGAAAAGGTGGAATATAAGATATAAAAATCTAGATAAAAGCCAAATTAAAAAACATTTCCTCCCCTTGAATCCCATTATTTCTTGTCTTTGCCAACTATCTGATGATTTAAATCCGAACAAATCTGTTTTCGCCATTTCGAAGCCTTCTTTTTGCCTTCTTATCGCCCCGCTGAAAGGCTCATAATGCAGTTTGCTTTTGGGCTCGGGCAATAAATGCCAGGAAAACTTATTCAAAGTGCCATAAGAATCTTTCTCCTTTCTGGATGGCTTCCAAAATAGTTGCAAGGATGTGTGTGTGGGCCAAGGAACCACATAAATCACATGAGTCAGGATTTTCGCAACAACAACTAAAATCAGAAAAAAAAGGAGGAGGAAAAACAGCAGCACTAAACACACACTAAGTGGATTTGTGAGATGAGGAGAAGGGAAAGAGAAAGGAGAAAGCCACTGGCCAAAAGGCAACAAATGATAAGCGTTTTAACCCCTTGTTTTTATGCATGAGAAAGTGTTGCTAGCCAGCCAGTTTGTTTGTTTGTTTGTTTGCTGCTCCTCCTGCTGCTTCTGGGATAAACTCATCTGCAATTTGTTTACTTTCGACGTTTCCGAAAATTTACTAAAAAAGAATGGGTTATTACGAGCTTAGCATAGCAAAAAACTTGGCCAAAAAAGGCTAAGAACAACACACTCTTACTCACATTTGCATGCAAAGACAGCTGGGCAAAAACAGTAAAGGCAACAGTGCGTATGCTTAACGCAGAAACGATTAAGTTGTTGAGAGAGCGAGAGATAGAGTTAGAGAGACTGAATGGAAATTGAAAAATAGCATGAAAAACCACTAGCCAAAGAAGGGTGAGCGGGGGAGTTTCGTTAACGTGGGCGTGGCACAATAAAGTTATGCGCATAATATCCACAGCTCACGTATTGGCCATAAAATGCGGGCAGGAGAGCCAAATCTTCCGACTGCTGAAAATCTACGAAAGGAAATAGTTCAGGAGGAGCGCCAGAAAAAAGGATTCGCTTTCCCAGCTTTCCCTGGCTAGCTGGCTTTCCCTTTTTGGGTCAAGTTTATGCAGATGCCAGCGAGTGGAGTGGATGAAAAAAATCGCAGGCGATGGGGCGATGGCGACAAACGCGCTTAGGAATTTTCACACGACCCCAGAAGCCAGGGAAAGCCGGGAAAACCCGGGGAGCCAGCGGTACGGTGAAGAAAAGCCAGTCGAACGAGACGGAATATGTTAAAGAGCAGTTGTTAGAAAGGATTTACGTTTTACATTTGCAGGCACAGGGAGAAAAATGAATTTAAATATTAGAGTTTTTCCTAAACATATATTTTCTAAAATAACTAAAAATTATTTAGGTAAAATTAATTTTATAGAAATATTAAATATTTATAAAAAAGGAAATTTATATAGATAAATCGCTTTAAAACATTTTGTGAATATTGATAAAACCAATTAAAATAAATACTTTTTTTCCTATTATTTTTAATACGAAAAAGTCTTAGCCTCTGTTCATAACTGTAGAACAAATTCAATTATTGTTTTAATGTTCTCTGTTTTCTTTTCATAACTTTTTTCTCTGTGCATAAAAAGAGAGATCCATGAGGTAGACACATTCACACATTGGTATTTGGCCAAAAAAGCATTTCGACGCGGCGGCGATTTTGTTCTGGCTCTCCTATTTTTACTTTTTTCCTTATTTTGAAATTCAAATTCCAATAAATTTTCCAACGATTTGGCACACAAAGCAATCCAAAGCAGAAAAACGAGGGGGGCTCAAGTGTGGGAATGCGTTGGGGGAGGTTGTTAGTGCTGAATCCTTTGCCGGATTTGCATGGCCAAAAGAGCTGCGGACATGGCTCGAAGTGGAGAATTTGGATGGCGATGGGGATCCGCTTAAATATGCAACAATTTGTAGCAGACAAAGATGTTTGCCAAAGTGGTGGGGGTTTCCAGCAGCCAAGTCCTTTGATTATAAATTAATGTCCTGTTTACCAGGGAAAGACCACCACCCCTAAACCAAATGCCAGAAAATGCCTCTAATTCGTTTACGATTTCGAGGGGGTCAACAAATGCAGCAATCTGTACTGCAATTGGATGTCGTTAGTGAGAGCAATCAACTGGTAAATTAAAACAATTGCTTTTCGGGGGGATTTAAAGCTGCTGCAAATTAAATCGTTAACTAAAAAAATACAAATATATTTTGAAAAAGTGTTTTTGCTGTAAATTTCACCAACAGATTTCTCATTTTAAGCTAGACCTTAAGTATTGGCGTGTATTGACTATTCCCTAACATGGCTATTTTTCTCTACTACTCTTCACACATGTCTTGCACACTCATAAATCCAAAAAATATAATAAATATATCATAAACAAATCTATAGCGGACATTATACAGGATGTTACGCTCTAACGGAGCGCGCAGGCTGAAGTAAGTTAAAGTTAAAGCAAGGACAACAGAGAAAAAATACACAAATTCCATTACTGTGATGATGCTGAATTTTTGAGTTGCCTGCAGTTAATTTTGCCTATGATTTTTCAAGCCTAAGCACTGAGACCCTAGAAAACAAACACTGTTTTGATTAGCATTTTGTTTTTAATTGTTTGAGCATGACTTTGCCGCTTTTCCGCCCATTTTGGTAAACTAATTTAAACAATTTTCCACCCACTCTCTTCTTCGAAAACAGATTCACCATATCACGACGTAAGCGGCCTGCCCAATCCCTACAACATGGAGCACTTGGAACAGGACGAGGTCCTTCCCCCGCAGCAGCATATGTCCTTGAGCTACGACGACAGCTTCGAGGGCGAATATTCGACAACGCCGAATGCCAGAAATCGTCGCGTCATACGCGAGATTATTGTCTAGGTTAAAAAACAGTCTAGTTCGAGAATCGGTAAATCGGAAAATCGAATAATCGGAAAATAAGCACTAAAAATATTCTCCAAAACACCACACACACACACGCTAAATTCCATCATCATCCATTTGAATATTATCATTTTTTCCAACTGCCAGCAGCAGCAGCAGATCTTTTGAAAAGTGGCCATTTTGAATACTTTTTTTTAATAATATATTTAGCTTAGTTTTTTGAGGGTTACGACGACGACGAACGTGTGTTGAGTTTTATTGGCAACGAAACATATATACCATAATACCCCTAGGATTAGAGTTCCGATCTATCATTGCTCTAGTTCAGCACTTTGTTGAGACAACACTGAGAGAAATACCCAAACACACACACAGAGACACACACGGATTAAAACCATCACTGGACAAGCACTTAATGTTACGATTTACCAGGTAGCATAGGGCTAAGTAGTAGTTAATATTAATGGTCATCTCTAGGTCCCAGTTGCAACAAACGAACTTTAAACTGTAAGGCGGAAGAAACCAGAAAATCGGAAAAACGAAAACAAAATCTCACTTTTCACCTAGGCTTAGGCTAATTAACTCGTAAGTGATTCTTGTTGGATTCTGTGCAATATTCGCGAGCACAGATCCACGAAAAGCAAAAACAAAAAGAATATACATAAACAGTACGACCTGCCACAAAAAAAGAAAAATATAAATAACAAAACAAAAAAAACAAACGAAACAAAAGGAAACAAAACTTACCTTAAATTAATTTTAAATTTTTAAATAAATCTGAGAAAAACGAAAAACGTTGCTTTAAGTAAGTTATATGATACGAAAATAAAACTAACATACAGAGAACTTTAAAAATTATTGAAAATAATTAAAAAAGATAAAATACAAAAAAAAAACAACAAAGAAACCAACTCCTCCAATTTGAAAACTTTAATTTAATTTACAAAATTTACCAACTAACGAAACTACATGTTCTGTTTTCCATTTGTTCGAGCTTTGTGTTGAAATTCAAAATTTTAATTGTAATTGTAATTATCGTTAAGCCAATTAGAAATCGGTCGATTAAGTTATGTTAAACACACAGACCTATTGAGTTTAAATATAAATGTTTTGTTTGTGTGCATTACGTTGTGTTTTTAACCCCCTTATCATGTGTTTTGCAACTTTTTGACAATGGCACAGACACACAAATCGAGAAGAGGAAAACATTTTTTGTAGCTAAGATTTAAATGTAAATACATGTGTAATTGTATATATTTACTTGTGACTTGCAAAGTAAATAAGCAGCAGCGGAAACTTAAATTAAATTGTAGTTAATTTTAAACAATTTCAAAATGAATTTAACTAGTAAGCAAGTGTTTAAGAGCAAATGCCACAAAATAAAGCAGATAAAACGAATTAAGAAACCTTAAGCAAACAAGAGAACTCTCGTTGGATGAACAAAACAAAATATAAACCAGGCGAGCGAAAACGAGAATCTTTATTATATAAATTATACACTCTAAAAACCAGATAAGCGGATATACATTATATATATATACATATACACGTTCATATACATCTACTTATTATTTGTAAATAAGTAAAGCATAATTTTTCATTTGAAAACCGTAAACGAACCGGAATCCATTAAAGATATATTTCCAAACACTACAAAAAAGCGAAGCAAAATCAAAGCAGATTTTTTATTTAGCAAAAATATTTATATATATACAAAGCTATATATATATGTTTTGCAATTTGACTGACAAGCAGTGGAAGTGGCACACACACGAACAACAAAAAATCACACAAGCGATAAAAACATAAACGAAAAAGTAGAGACAGAATTTGAGGCCCTCGGGCTGTTCAAACAATAAAACACTTTGTTAACTATTTTGTATGCATTTCTGATTTCATTCAATTCAACAAATTGCCACCCCACAAAACGGAAAAGAAAACATTAGCTAAAATATTTATGCATACACAATACACACACAAACACAAAATCAAACTCTCATGCAGTCACACACATGAAAACAAAACATATAATATTTTTTTATTCAGTTTTAAAACGAAACGTAAAAATAAAGCGAAACATCAAAAAACGAAGAATTTAAATTAAATGCCCTGTGTTTTGATTGGCTGTGGTTTGGACATTTTCATCGGCAGAGATATTAATTTGAATGGGGAAACAGATTAGAATGGCTTTGGTTTTTCGAAATTAAATCATTTTCTATGTAAGAATAATTCAAATTAAATGGCAGTTATAGATGCAGATTATTTGTAATCGAAGGTGTCTAAAATTATGCGATATTATATTTTTAAGTCAAGAGTCCTCTTTAAAAAGCTATTTTTTCTCGGCAAACTTTTAGGCAGCTTAGAAAAATGATTTGAATATTTAACGTAAGCATACAGTGTGTTTCACAGATTTAAAGACCCTGTAAAATCTTAAATGTTTTCTTTTCTGTGGTCCTGAAATGGGAAAACTCCCCCAAAAAGAGGGCGGCTGTGGGCGTGGCAGCAGACATCAGCATTAATAACAAAGAAGCAGCAGTAGCAGCAGCTGCAGGCGTTGCATAATGTGCCATGTTTAAGTTGATTGGCACCAAATTTATAGCATGCAATTTGACTTAAGTGGCAGTGCAGCACACTCCGGCACCCTGGCACTCTGGCAACCCTGGCGGGCAATCCTGGCGCCGGAAGTAACACGACACTGACATTTTAATTTAGTGCCAAGCGCAGGACCTCTGGTTACCCCTCCTCCTTTTTCTCCACCCCCTCGAATTTCCCTTCCTGTTCGTGTCACTTTTGCAGTTTTGCGTAAGAAACGAAAGTCAGCCACTTCGAATACCGCTGACAGCTGGGGAAAAGGCGGGAAAATGGAGGGAGGTGGAGCCAAATCGGAGGCATCAGCTCGAAATCAAATGGAGACGATTAACAAGCCGATAAGTGGATAAAGGAATATTTTTTTGGTAAGTATATTTAGGGGATGGCGGAAGTTATAAGCAAATTAGAAGAACAAATTGTTAAACGCTTGAAAATGAAAAAAGGAGAGATATTATTTTAGGATAGGAATTAATTCAATAGTTTGTTTTGGGGAAAAAGTTTATTTTATAAATTTTTTAGTTTTTTTTTTTGAGCCTGTCTATTCCATGAATTTATTTTAATACAAATTTGTCAGCCTTTTTTTTTGCAGTGCGTGCAATCATTTGAAATGGAACGTAAACTAATTTCTTCCCATTTCTCGCCTTGCTCCAGCTGCAATTCGTAGAATGTGGGCCACGAAACAGAAACAGGAACAGGAGCTCTGTCAGTTGTCCCATATAAGGCTGTATAAACCTATATAAGTCCACAAAGAACCAACAGGGAACCACCACAAACCACTCTTCTCTGAACTGAAACGAACCGCAGTCATTCATTCATTCATATCTCGGTGGCGAAAACAAAAGCGGCATATGGAAATTCATTTACTCCGCTTGGTGGGCTTGGGCTCCATCCTTAACCCCAGAACGGCTCCCTTAACCCGCCCGTGACCAAGGGTGGCTCATCCAGCACGTAGGCGGCAACCGCCGTCAATTAAAGCACTGCCGGTGGCGCCTAATTGGATTTATGCCACATTTATGTGTGTAGGTGCGAATTCGCGGAATCGGTGCAAATTGCGGGGCTGTCGGGAAAAGTCGTGCTAAAAATCAGCAGGATAATGAGCGACTGCTGCCATTAGGCGCGGGAAAACACACTGAGAACCACAAAACTTGGCGCCCCAACAATTGCAACTTTCGAGGACTTTAAATGAAATTACGCGAAAACTTTCGGACTGCCACTGCCATCATAGAAATGGCAACTTTTCAAGAGATCGCCAGAGGCGGCTGCATGCAAACTGAATCCCACGATTTTAGCCGATGGCACGCCCGCGAACATAATGAGTTCCATAAATTACCGCAAATTAAAGAGCCGGATGAGTAGACATTCTTGTACATAAGTGGATGCCACCTGGATGCCACGCGAACAGGGAAATAATTATTAACGGGGAGTATACGAAATGACACCTTATAATAGAAAGGGTTTACTGATCAACAGTGTTTTCTTTTTAAAATAATATTTGGTATGTAGAAAAAAATATTATTTATTGAAATTCCATATTTCCACTTCATATAGTGGTTTAAAATAGCATACATATCATGTCCCATTTAATTCGTTATTCAGACCTACAAATTTAACACAAATCAATGATATTTTTATTAACATGATTTTATTTAAGGGTTGGAAATTGCTGTTTATTTTATTAAAGAAGTATTTGCAAAGATGGTTGAGTGAGGCTTCAATGCTTCTAAATCAATTAACTTCCATCCAAAATGACACATCCAAAAATACGTTTTTTTGTATGAGTTTCCTTGTGGTTTCTTTTAGGATGATTCGAAATTATATAAATTATTATTAGGGCTTTAAGAATATTTTATAAATAGACTTCCCTTAAATATCCCAACCCATCTTAACTTCGAAAAGGGAATACCCCGTATTCCCATCGCTCATTCTGTTTGTGTGTGCTCTGCGGTCATTGGTTTGTAATTAATGCGACCAGAAGCTGACCAAAGAGCGACTTGGCACGCCTGCGGCGGCCTAATGTTGCACGGATCCAAAGTCCAAAGTCCAAAAGCGCCGGACCCAAAGCGCCGGAGTCGAAGGTAAATCGCCGGAATGCCCCGCCTGTCTGCGGTCGTCCTTCGCGGAGGACGAGTGTGCGTTGAGTGCTTTCGTGTTTAATTTTATTAATTATCGACGTAATCTTTGAAGTTTGCCGTTCTCTCCACTCCGTAACTCCGGGGAACTTCAACTTTTGGTGGCCTCACATCTCTCGGATGCAAGGCGCCTCCATTAATCGCGTTAACTCGAACGTGTGTGTCAGTCCTTGGCGCGAAATTCGCCTACACAATTTTATGGGGGCGGCAAAAGTTCCGACAAAACACAATTATGCTTTGGCATATGCAAAGGAAGAGGAGCAGCTGATGAGGAAGTTAAGTTTCGGTTCGACTTAATCTAATATTTCATTCCTTTATTTAGTGCCATAAATCGTAATTGGAGCAGAGATAATTCATCGAAAAAAATATATAATTATATTTGAGTTAAATATAATATAATTAATAAAATATTTCTCAAAACCTACAAAAAAGCGAGAACGAAAAAAATAAAATGTTTTCCTTTTAATATTCTTAGCGTATGCATATTTTCAGCATGACTTTGAAGCATGACTTTTCGTGGAAACAAAAAATGCAAGTTTTTTTTTGGCAAGCTCTCAGCAAATGTCAAGATAAATACTTTATACAATGATGTGTTTCCCAACTTGTGAAATAACGGTTTTATTAAACTTTTTTAGTAGATTTACTAAAAAAAATCCGGGTACTTTTGGCGACAGGAAACTGTCTGACTAATTCTTATCGCATTATTCTCAACATTTAATATTTTTTGGGTGCCCGTAAATAAATGACTAAGGGCCGGTTTCTCGAGTGCCGGCTAACATTTCTCGAACAGATAAAGTCCCTGCTAAGGCATTTTGGCTTTCTCGAGCATAAATGTGAGAGCTAACTTTGACAGGGACTCGGAGTCCCTGTTAAGAGTTTTCGACTCGATAGAATGACAGCTGATTTCCCAAAGCCAACTATGAAGATGAAACGAAATCACAGCTGACTTTTCCTTTAAATTATACCCAAACAGCTGATGAAATAATCGAAGCACGCCATTTTTTACCCTTCACAGCACAATTCTGTGCGTTAACAGCACTATGTAATTGTTTCTCGTTCAGATAAATTAAAGCAGTCGAGAAAGCCGATTTGCTTTTACGAACAGTTTATCTGGTATTTAAGTTTTTCGAACAGATAGCTATCAGGGACTTTGACAGGGACTCGAGAAACCGGCCCTAACACATAAAATAAAATGAACAAATTATAACCACATCGTAATTATTAAAAGCAATAATCAAAAAATAACTAGCTTTCTATTAAATCGTTATCAAAAATATCCCAATTTAATTTGATTATCTTCGCTGCCATGGCAGGCAGTTCTTTTCTTAGAACCCTCAATTTTTTTGGAAACCACCCATTGCCTTATCGGCGGACCTTTCCCGGCAACAGCTGCTCATTTGCTGCTAATCCTGGACCTCTGAAAGGGATTCCCACCTTCCGAACTGAACTGAACCACCTTCATTGCCTGGCAACTAGACAGCCAGGGGCCAGTGGTTGAGTTCCGTAATTCGAGCGCAAATATTGAAGTTTCAAAACCACCGGCAACAGTGGCTGCAGCCGCAAATAAAAGAATAATAATAATAATGAGCAAATATTTAAGCAGCCGGGAACTTATCAGAGAAGCAGCGAACGTAAGAGGGCTGAAATCGCGATCTGGATGCACGGCAAAAATATATACCTTCATCACAACTTTTTAATAATATTATTATAAATAAAAGTATATTTTTAATTTTATCCATTTGAACCTGGAAAAATTAAATATTAAAATATGGATAAATGTGAAAATTTAAAATGTATTTTTACTTAAGTGCCACAACTATAAATATGACTAATTTTATAGCCAATCTTAAAGTTCTTACTTACTTACGTATTTCTTCCCGTGTAAATAAACTTATTTTATTGATTGAATATTTTTTATTCCAGCGAAAAATTACGATTATTAAGAGTGTACGCGTTGAAATTGAGGATAACCTTAAGAAAATCATTTATTCTATTTTATCAGTGCATTCAAAATATTATAAAAATAAAAAATACAATAAAAAATTATTGCTTTTAAAAATCAAATGTAAAAAAAAAAACTTAAAAGTTTAGTATTTTTTATTAAAAATTCCCCCATGCGTTTAGGAGTTTTCCTTCTACAGTTAGAGTCTCATGGCC